ACACTTGTTTTTAAAGGATTCAATCGATTTATGAATGATGTGAAAATGATGTTAGGAAAACGTGCAGCAGAATATTATTTATTTTTAACATGGTGTATCCTGTCTCCAATTATTATGTTGGTTAGTTATAGACTGAAAATAAAGATCAAGATTTTATTTCAATAAAATGAAATCTATTTATTCAGGTAATAACATTCTCAAATTTGTTGACTTCTAAACAAATGTCGAATGGTGCTGGTGCTGGCTATGAAGCTTATGTTTATCCCGGCTGGAGTACCATCGTTGGATGGTGCATATTTGTTGCTTGTATAATACCTATCCCATTGCTTTTTATTATCAATTATATTCAAGAATATTTTTCACTTCGTCGAAAAGAAATCGTAAGATGTTTTTATTGAATTTTTCTTTGAATTTTTATTTTATGGAACAAAATAGATACGATCAACTGGTCCTTCAACCGATAATGGCTCTCCAGATGATAACAACTATCCTGAAAAACCTCGATATATAGAAGCATTTACTCAAAATAATGCACCTCGATACGATTGGGGACCGAAGAAAAGTATAAACCACATTGGTTTATATGCTTATTTGAAAACAGTAGAATCAAAAGACGCCATTGTTCTTGATCGAATAACGAATGTATCAAACGATGGATATTCCAATCGAAGTTATCAAGAGGATTGTATTTCGAATAAGAATGCTCCGCAAACACCAATAGAAAGACATTAAAATGAACTTTGACTTATATGATATCATGACAAGGGGGAAAAGCGCGACTTCCATACTTTCCTTGTACTCCCAGATACTTCATGTATACTTCGCTGTACTTCCATTGTACTCACATCGGACTTCGAAGTACGGAAGTCGTGCTTTTTCACCTTTGCATCATGATAATGGTATTTTATTTGAATTGAAAGAAAATGTCAATTGGATTTCATATTGCTAATTGCTTGATCTTTAACCAGCTATGTAGTGATCTTATGTTTCCTATAGTTTTAAAACTTGATCCTTTTATTAATTTTTTTCTTGTATTTTTCTATTTTTTGAAAAATTCCAGATTTTACTTAAAAAAGTCACGTATTCTTATAGAAATTGTTTTGTATGTAATGCAAACATAGTCACTACTGTTTGCAACATAACACATATGACAACGAAAAAGTATATATACATATATGACCAATGCGAGATCTCGACGTACGAGTATATCCATCTGATTATAACAGAGTTGTCTAAGAAGAAGGATGAGTAGTCATACGTTTTATTATGCGACAATAACACTTCACATCCTGAATTTGATCTTCTTGTATTATTGATATGATGAAGGTACTGTATAATATAGCAATATTCCTTCATTTATATTGTGATCAAAACTATTTACAAAAGAATGAACAATTTAAAACCAAATAGATAATAATATTTACCTAATCAGAACAAAATAAAAATTCTATAGATGTTTACTTACTTTTGATCGGATAAATGAAATCGCATTTTTATTAATTACATCGAATTCAGGAGGTGAAAGTGACAGCTTTTTAGGGTAGCGTACTTCAACAAAAATATGTTCAAAATTTTCTCGAACGTTTTTTGATCATCTTTAATATAAGATCAATGTGTATTACAGCTATATCAGTTAGAGTTTATTGTACATAGATCTACTCAATACTAAGGCTAACACAGATTGTTACTGATACTGCAATATTGAAATGTCAGTGTAATCATTTAAAGTTATTGAAGAAACAGAATTTTACGAAATAAACTTAAATTACTATGCTTTTAACTGCTACTGACAATATAATTGAAATAACTAAACTGTTCTATGTGGGATAACTGTAGTATACCCTTGAAATAAAATAAATTACATGATTTTCTCTTTTATATGTTGCATTGAACAAAGCGAAACAAAAATGCTAAGATAATTGCGTCATCATAAGTAATATAATCGTTTTTTAATGAACTTTTTTCTTTAAATAATTTCTTGTATCTCTTATCATATTGATTGAGAATCAATAAATTGTCAAAGTCTCACGACATTTGTTCGGTTATTTTCATGATCCCAGATCGACTATTTCGATCATCTGACAATACATTTTATACTACCAAAAACAGATAAAACAACAACATAATTACTATCTTCAACGTGGAAACGCGATTAATGTTTTTCTTCATTTTTTAGACTGTTCTCTGTTAGTTAGAATCACGAACTATTTTTAATAGGCTGGTAAACAACTTTGTTTAAGATATTTTGCATATTTATTGTTACTTTTATTGATAAAAATGATTATTTTGGTAAAATTAGAAGTGTTGAATCAAATGAGTTCAAAAGAGCAATAAAAGTATGCAATGTGATCACACTATAATCTTTGTCATGAATAAATCGATTTATTATTGCTTCTTTTAAGCCAGTTGCTTTGCTTAATGCTTTTGTAAAGTCTCGGTGTCCACCTTGAGCTTTAATAACTTTTCGTAATTGCTCGACGACATCTTCATTTGCAGGTAAAACACTATTAGCCTTTGAACTCGCTGGTCCTTTTTTCTTTTCTTCGTGAGATGCAGCAGATTGATGACGCTTATGATGATACTTTTTTGAAGAATGAATAGTCGATGGTGAAATAGGTTCTTTGATTTTACTTGGATTAATCACAATTTTATCAGTATTGTCTTCTAAAACATCGTCATCGTCATCGTCATCGTCATCATCATCGCCTACATCATCATTGGCACTATCGTCATCGATAGTCAGATGTCGTAAACGATGATTCTTCTTCTTTGGACGTTCTTTGCTAAAACTCATTTTATTTCTTCGAGTTCGTAGATTGACTTTTTGTGAACTACTGTGTTTACTAGTTACTTTTGGAGAATCATCATCATTGTCTGTTAAGGATGACTGGTCATGATTTATATTATCGTTATTATTATCATTAATATGATCATTGTTACCACCAATAATTTCATCTTCAGGGGAAGAAAGCGAAGAAGAAGAAGCAGACGCAGAAGCAGACGCAGAAGCAGAAGAAGCTATTGATGAAGATTCTTTAATTGATGATCCTGGAGGTAAATTAACTTCTTCATGCAAAATATGCTCCATCATTATTGCCGTATGACGAACACGAGCATTTGACGTTAATAATCGAACTATTAAAACGTCGCGGTTCACCCAAATTAAATAAATTAATAGTAAACTAGTAATAAATATTATTGGTTTTACAAGATCGATTTTAGTATACCAGGAACGTTTTCTATTACTTCGTTTCTTGGACTCATTGCCGTTCTAAAATGAAGATAGAATCAGATCAGAGAAAACAAGTAGAACAATAAAATATATCTTGAAAGTAAATTTGAATTATTGTAAGTATTATTAGTTATAGTCGTTCCAAGCGACTATATAATTGCAAAAAAACAGCTAGCTACCGTTGGTTCAGTTGGACGTTTTTTTTTCTTTTTAATTTTTTCTGGTTGTATATTTTCTGTAACAAACTCAGATTGTGATGTTTTGGATACGTTTTCTAAAGGTTGTTGAGAACCATCAACTGATATTGATTCATCGTCATCTGTATTCAATGATGGAGTATTAGTTTCCTGATGTGCACTGTCTTCATTATCAAAACTTGCATTTTTAACGATTAACAAACTTTCTACCATAATTTGAATTGTTCTTTATATTATTTCGAAGGAACAAATAATCTACTACATAAAATATTATTTATCACAAAAAACGAAGAAAACTTTTATTTCGAAAATAAGAAAAACTAATTATTGACAATAATCACTACCTTTATATGTCGCCGCATCTGAAAAACAAACCAATACGGTATAGAACACGCACGCATTCACGGTTGATTGCTTTGAAAGCCACCATCAAGTTACAATTTATTTTTATTTCTATTTACTAGCAATAAACATTTTTCCACCACAAGGACAACGATCGGATCAATATAAAAGAGACACAGTAATTACCTAAAATAAAGCACTTCTGAATAATGAAAGTGTCACCATTGACATCGATGTAACAACTGATGAGTTCTTAATCTGTAAAATCAATATACGTAAATATTTTCTTTTGTAATGCATTTTAGATAGAAACATCAATATCTGGAGCATGTATCATATTGGAAAGAATTTTTTCAATGCTGAACGTCAAACATGATCATGACGACGATTCATATATCTTCACAAAATGATTCTCATGAGAAAGCCATTTTTTGACTAAATATTATCTAAAAAGAACCTTTTCATAGGTGTCACACTATTCCTTGAATTTCTATTCATCTTCATATATTTATTTTAAATACTATGGATCTCAATCTCTCTTTGTCCATTAGATTTATTTTGACTATAAATAATAATGAATAAATATTTTAGTTGTGATTCTCAACATTCATCATCTTTTTGCTTTGAATCAATGTTTCGAATAGGAATCTAAACCAACGTGTAAAATTGCAGAGTATTTTCGCAAGTAAATTACAAAATGATACTGTATTTTCTGTTCAAACAAAAAAAAGAATAATATCTAATCAAATTGTTTAAAAACTCGTTATCAGTAACTTCATAGATAAATTAGAAATAAATAAATAAAAAATGTTGAATTCGCAAATTTTTTCATAGAATAAAAAACAAAATGTTACCCTATTATGGATCTTTGCTATTAGAAATACTGTTTTGAATATTAAATTGTTTGTACCCACAAAATTTTCTGATATACATAATTGCGTAGGCTATGGACACATGCATAGACGTATAATTGTTACTGAAGTATTTATTTTCTTGCAAAACTTTGTTTTTGTTTCTATCCTATTAATGGAAAGTGTAAATGATTTAAGAACAACTGAAATCGATTATTTGACTTTTAAAGATGATGAAATTTCGTTATATTATTCTACAGATGAACGATCTTATGGAAATTTTCTTAATTCAAATTGTTTATCTATGAAAACTTTTTTATTATAGCTATTATTTTAATCAAATAATGAGAGTTATCACTCGCTGTCTTGCATTTTGAAAGAAAACTTTTTATTCACTCAATTAAGGTTATTGAAGAAAGGTATACCTTATTTATATTGCAACAATTAGATTTTCCATTTTGAAGATGCGACAAACGTTCAATCAACTTAATTTAATAGTTTTTCTAGATCTGAATTATTTCTGAACAAAATCACTTCAAGTATTTTTACGTCTAAGAAAAGCAGTAACCGACAGTTTCACTAGATAATTGGTCATATTAAGTATTTTATGCACAGTTCAGGTTTGGCTATTCGTCGGGTCAAAAAAAGTGAATTGATGTTTTCGAAGTTTTTCTGCATGTATAAGAATGGATGCAAGTATTTTCTTCTCACTGCATCCCCTTATTCACCAATTTTCAAAAAGAAACTAGATAGTACATTGGAGAGATAATGTTTCTTCCCAAGTAGACATCAAACAGATAGTGAGAATTGAAAATGTCATTCGTTGCTGCTCTAACCTTATTTCCCTCTGACTATAATATCGATGTTATTATTATTATTTTTATCTCGTCGATTTTTTGTATTATTCATTCATCCTTTCAATGTTCCTTCTACAGAGCTGATGATCAGTAAGAAGCAGAAACTCTCTTTGATTGGAATACACTATCTGACGGTGGAAGGTCTCTGGGCGTTGAACCGAAAATTTCGACGAAACCAATGTCGGTTTATGATGTCAAGTGTTGGTATTTCAAATATAAAAAATTAGAGTAAACATTTTTGTTTGCTCAGAACCTTTACAATGGGACTCACAGGTGAGTTTTCTTAACGAAAAAGACAGTTCACAAAACCATGCAAAGCTTTCATAGATGAGCTTAGTTATAAGTGCAGATTCCAAATATATTATTAGTTCTACTCAGGGTTACCAGCTGTTCAGGTCCCTAATGGGGTGTAATGATTTCAAAATCGGGTACACGTTGGGTACAACTCAGCTGTAAATGGGAATGACTATCATTTACCACAAATAGAAATCCACGGACACATCTATACATCATATCCACACTTGTGGTGAATAAAATAAATATGACCCATTCTGGTGACCAAATAGGGATTTTTGATTTAGGAATTTTTCAATTTAGGGATTTTTTTTATACAATATCTTGTTCAAGTCACAACCGAACAAGGTCCCAGTTAGGGGTTCATCGATACCAGTATACCGGGTACTGGTAACACTGGTGACCAGAATCATTTCTCCGAGTTTCTGATAAGAAGAATTACGTTTCGAAATGATTCTATGAATATTGAATATGTATGATTCTGGTAACCACAATCAGCTCTAAGAGTTTCTGATAAGTAGGATCACGTTTCGAAAGGCGATTCTGGTAACCAGAATCATACATATTCGATATCTATTAGAATCATTTCGAAAAGTAATTTCGCTTATCAGAAACTCTTAGAGCTGATTGTGGTTACCAGAATCATACATATTCAATATTCATAGAATCATTTCGAAACGTAATTCTTCTTATCAGAAACTCGGAGAAATGATTCTGGTCACCAGTGTTACCAGTACCCGGTATACTGGTATCGATGAACCCCTAACTGGGACCTTGTTCGGTTGTGACTTGAACAAGATATTGTATAAAAAAAAATCCCTAAATTGAAAAATTCCTAAATCAAAAATCCCTATTTGGTAACCAGAATGGGTCATATTTATTTTATTCACCACAAGTGTGGATATGATGTATAGATGTGTCTGTGGATTTCTATTTGTGGTAAATGATAACCAACCGTAAATGGGGTACATTCGTGAGGTAGGCAGTGTAGGTCTTTCACACTGGTCATTGGCGGAAATCAATTTCGAAAACTACTTTAAATTTAGAAAGGGCATTCTCAGTTTTTCTTTTTACTATAAAGCCTAGCTTTCAAATTGAAATCTTTATTTTCTAAAATAAAATTTCATTTTGATATACACATATTCAATTCAATCATAATAAAACAAGGCTTACCCAAAGCGAATCTTCTCGATTTATATTTATTTACACCCATGTCACTCCTGGCGTTTTGTGCGCGCACGTAGCGTTGTGCGCACTTGGTGCGCGTACGGGTATGGACGCCGATACGTGCGCCACCATGCGCGTTCGTACGTGACGTTTCTGCGCGCACCAAAACGCACGGGGTGACATAGGCACTAACTGTTGCACGCTTTTTTTCGAAACTGTATTTTTGTTGACTTTTGACACACTTTATCCGTTGCGATTGCGTTTGAGGAAAAGAAAAAAAATCTTCACATGTCGTTGGTTAACACAATTCAATAGAACACACGAATTGCTACAACTAAACAGATATACTCCAGCTAAGACAAAATTGAATCACGGTTGTTAAATCGAAAATGAAAACAGAAAACAAGTGACTTTACCCGGTAGCGACATCCTCCATTGGTTACTTAGCAACCAACCAACCAACTAAAATAATTGACGCTTCACACTTTTATCAATAGTAAATGTCGGATCAGTCTTTCTAACAGCAAGTGTACACAGCAAAAGCAAAATGTCTGGAATGCCTGCTGTTTCCGAAATACACTCTGATTTACACGTTGCTCAGAAAACAAAAATGTAAGGCGTACACTTTGAAAAAGAAAATAACACTTTGATGTTAGATCACGAAAACTCATTTCGCTAAATCTTTGTCTGTTTGGACGGAATTAAATTACTGCCGTCGTCATCATCACTTCCCAGGTCGTGGAGGTACGACGAGAAACGGCCGGAAAGCGCTGGAAAGTGGAAGCAGTATTCCGATCGGAAATTACCGGGTTTTTTCCTGTGGATTCCGGACAACTCCCAGCTGGAAAGCACAGAAAACTGACCAGAATCCACAAGAAAAAAATCCGGTAACTTCCAACCAGAATACTGCTTCCACTTTTCAGCGCTTTTCGGCCAGATACAGTGATTTTTCCGCATCTTTCCGGACAGCTCCTACGGTATCAACCCTCTGGAACCATTGACCTGGGTTGCTGTATCAACAGATTCACATTGTGAGGTCGAAATTCTACGTAAAAATGTATTTATTAATTCATCAATAACCGTACATGCTATGAATGAAAAGTATTCAACTGAATGTGATAATATTGGATAAAAAGTAGCAACACCTAGTAATGCTCTTGTTTGGTTGTTTATAATTTATGCGACTTTCTTTCTCTATGAAACAGATAAAAAACAATTTTTCTTATTATCTTTCTAGATTATCTGACCTCTTTTCGTTTATTTACACTTTAATACACTTTGTTTATAAAATCAAAGGGTGAAGATACACGTTTTTCACATAAACAAAATGTACAAAAACATCTTACTTCGGATTTCTATTAGAAACACTGTGTCGGATAAAGAGACCGACATTTTCTGAATTTCTACCAAAATAAGGATGATAGTAGTCGTAACATTGAAAAATGTAGATGGGCTACAAAATGCGTACCTCAGAGGTACAATTTGTTTTGGAGGTACAAAAGGCTCAAATGGGATACGGTTGGCAACCCTGGTTCTACTGCATAGTGTATTTTTCTAATGGAAATCTCTGGAAAAATAGTCAACATATTATAAATTGATATCTACAGAAGAGTTTGTTAGAAGACTTTTAAGGGACTCGATTTTTTTTCAGAATTTGAAAAGCATACGATACTTTGCGTTTTCAAAGCGCTACAAATTCATATCTGAAGATTTAAATGAGTTGACTTAACTTGGCAGTTTTACCCGTATCCTCACATTGTTTATTTATTTGCCAGTAAGAGTGTGAATTTTAGCTAAATGCGATCAATCATATAAACTTATAGTATTAAGCATTCCAATATAAATTGTAAACAGTTTCATAGAGAATTAATAGTCCTGAAAATTGCTTGATTCTGTATCTTTCTACCCTAAATAATTGAAACAAACGACAATATCTACGTATTGACTCATTGATATTCACACAAAGTTATACAGTTTTTACCAGAGTAAGTTTTGACGCTGCGTCAAATCTGCTTAACAGAAGACAAAGAGTTTATATGCAGAATGAAAGAGTCGATTTAAAGCACATTTTACTGATGTTTATTGCCAATGGGAAAAACAATGATTGAAACGAAGAAGACGATCACAACAACTATAGCAAAAACAAGGATAATTTTTGTGCTGACGAATGCAGAATAAAAATCTTTGTCTAAATGAAAATATGCATCACGTACATTTACAAAATGACCAGAATCTTTTAGGTCCATTGTCATTTGAATGTTAACTATACTTGTACATTGCAGAACATTATCTTCGGCTAGTTATCTGACCAACCAGTAAAAAACTAAAATATAAATATGGCTAGAATGTGACGAATTCTGACAGAAGAAGTGCTTGCATTGGTGGAACCATGCTTTATATCATATCTTCGTAACATGAATCGTATCGATTACACAAAAAGCACACATTTAAATACTCAAACATGCAAGAGAACGAAAGCTGATGACAGTTACGAACAAACACTAAGGACATCAAAACAAATACAAAACATAGAGAAAGGACAAAATACATAGTAAGAACAAAATAATAGTCACGCTTAACTGTGAACGCTACATAGAAGTTAGTTTCAAGCATTCTTTCAATTGATACCTGTCGTATTCAATTGCCGATGTTCAAAAGCGTACTGGGGCTAGTGTTCAACAAGTCTCTAAGCATTTTGAGATGTATGTCATAGAACTTCTCAATACATACCGGCTATGGATATGAATGGAAGTAAACTGAAATATCGTAATAAATGAATTAATCTTAATAAATTCTCAATAAATAAATCCCCGGTAGCACTTCATTTAGACGTATTCAAACTCTAGAAAATAGATCACGGACTAGATATATTGAAATTCCATAAATTCTCAGTTGTATATTCAATAAACAAGCGTCAAAAGTAGCATATTTTGTAACTTAAAGTGCAATGGGATCTTCATTCTATCAATTTAATTGTTGCTCTGTGAAACATCATGTCAAGATGTAGTACATGATAGAGCTTTATTTTTAAATCTTATAGATGTAAAGGAAAGAAAAGGGGCGAAATATTCAATATCTCGAGAAACTCTTAAAAAAATGTTGCTTTAATTGTAAAAATACTCTTTTGTATAAAAGGACCGAAGTTTAATTAAATAAATGCGGAAACATCGGATTTGCATCCGATTGTTATGTGTATTGCAAAAACTGGGTCGATTTGTATATGTTGTAAATAATCTTGACGCAAAAAGTTTTTTTTTGAAAAACTCTCTGCCTCCCCTCCCCCCCCCGCCGGGGTGGTCTGATCAATAATGACAATTTTTTCGATAACACAGCCATTTCTTGACGCATCCTTCTTATCTTCGAACTCGACTGAGATATCAATGAGATCATTCTGTGTACAAAATTTCATGACATTGGATGAGGCTTTCAAAGGTTATCGTGTTAACGGACGGACGGGCGTACACTGACCGAATCTAGAGTGTAATCACTTTTGAGTACACAAAAAGGATTTTTCTCTTGTGTCTTGTATTTTGACATATTCTTTTCAAGAAACAAATAGGTGACGAATAATCTGTCATGCCACGCATGAAATATTAGTTCTGGAGCTATCCTCTCATGTATTTCTCATAATTTCAAGTTTTATGAAGAAAATTTCCTTTTTCTTAAATGTAACAGTTGACGGTTGATAGCTGCTATTTGAATTTTATTATTTTCATTGATCTTATATTAGAACAACAATCACGGCTCAGTTATATTGTATATTACGAGTACTAGTCGAGAACATATCTTAAATATAAATGTAAATGTAATACTGTCTAATCATGATAAAAATGACGATAGATCATCTATGAGAAAAAGCAAATTGAAGATCACCGATATACCGTAATAAACAAAGAATAGCGAGATTAATTAACGATGGAATATTCAAGCAAAAAACGTTTTATCTATTAAAAAAACTTTTCATTGTGCATTTTATTTATTATAATAAGGATATTAACTAAGACAAGTGAGTTCTCCATTTCAACCCACTAGAAGTTAGACAGATCCTTTTTTCTTTGAAGAAGAATATTTTTACCATGAAAACTACAATTCTACGTTGAAAGGTGGTTACATTCAACGTAGTTTTGGCGATTTGAAGAAAAACGCAAAGAAAGATTGCATTTATTCTTTCATTCCTGCTTTTCTTTCTCTACTAATCTTTGTTCGCACTGAAAAAGCAGATCATCCAAACGAGTATAAGATTTGCAGTGTACCTCTATTTTATATTAATTTAGAATAAAAATCTCAGTCATGATTATGGCACAACATATAGACAATGATCGATTACAGAACGAGATTCATTATCGTTTTGACTATTTTTCTAAGTTGATTAATTTTACAACAGAAGCTGTTACAGCATTGAATACTTTTGCATCAGCAGCACTTCCAGTTATTCCAGATATTGTTGATTCGGTGTATAGAAAAGTATTTCAATATGATGACACAAAAAATTATTTTATTATACATAATGAAAATCTTTCATTGGAATCAGCACCAGTGGCTTATCGAAGAGATATGTTAAGTGGTTATTTCAAACGAGTACTTTTACAACGTGAATGGGCAAACGAATTTTTGGCATATATTTCCACGGTTGGTCGAATGCATACAAATAAAGTTGGTTCAACTTCAATTAATGTTGACTTTATCCATATCAATGCTAGGTTAACTCATATAGAGTCTTCTCATTGAAGCTGTTTGGTCAAATGAAAGTCTCGGTGGTAATATTAAAAGAAGTATCTTATTAGCATTAAATAAAGTATTTCGCATTCAAAATGATTTATTTCTTATGGACTATCTTGAATCATCTCAAGACAACTCATCAACACCAACAACATTTCATGAAAAAGGAAAATGCATCTGTAGTTGACATTTAATTTCATTATTAATTGTAAATAAAATTCTTTTTTTTTATTATAGCATCAATAAAATTTATTTGAGTAAAATTTTATTCAAATTACTTTTTTTCGAAATACTTATTTTGATAAATAAAATCTGTGTGAAAAGAAGAACACCGGTAATGAAACACCTATCAAAAATATATACAAGAGGAAACGGTTGATCGACAAGGATAATGGGAGGAACGGAAATAAGATTATTTAAGGAAATAAATGCAAAATAGATATCTTGATACGACTTGACAGGCTTAAAGAATAATATAAAACAAGCATTCAACAATTAAATGAACCGAGCATAACCGTTTTTAGATCTAGAAAAATAAGGTAAAAGAATTTGTTCTTTTCTCCGTCAGATACGTTTGAGAAAAAAAAATATTGTTTACATAACTTTTTAAAAATGTATACTACTGAGTTCTGTCATTGTTCTTTATCTGTATTTTGTAATAAATATTACCAAGGTTTATAATGATCTCATATGCATTGTCTTATTCTATCATTTGAACTGGATTGAATTTATATTAAAAACTTGCGCATGATAATTGATAAACAAAAAGGATTTTATTTATAGAAAATCGTTCAAACAAACATTTTCTTATTTTTGTTTTCGACATGAAACGTATTTGATTTCTATTTTCTACTAATTTTAGAAATCGATATTAAAACAAGCTATTCATTTGTTACTTTCCACGGCACTATGGTAATGAGGAACTAGCAAAAACTCCTCCAAAAATGTTTTTTCTCTCCATTATATTCACATACACATTATGACGAAATTCCTTTTTGAACAATAAGAATAAGTCACACGATTCTAATAAATGAATTTAGTTTCTGATTGTCAATAGAATTAAGTTGACTTGACGTTTCATCTGTGAGTAACTGAACAAGTTATCATAGTTCCTGCATAGTTATTCTGAACTCTCAATGGATAGAATATCCTGGATCTGATTGCATTTATTTTGAATCTGGTTTTCTTCCTACTTCCATTATTTTCAGAGCTATATCTTCCGTTAGAAAATCATGTGCATGTTGAAGTTTGCGCACTTTGTGTGTATGCTCGATCAAAGTATTAATGATATTGTTAAATTATTTCTCGATATTAATTTAATACAAATTTTTATAATCTCACAGATACGTCAACAGATAGTGCTAGCGTATGCATTGAATGATCGGAAGCATTGATTGGCCAATTTCTTATTGATGAAAAGGTAATCATGTGACATAGACTCAAGAGTGATGATGCGCAAAAGTAAAAACAGAAGGAAGGTATGTTCGAAAACGAGAGAAAATTAAATATCTCTAAAAATCTTTCCTATTGAACGAAGTTAAAATGCTAAAAATAAACAATACAATGAATGTTATGCATTTTTCATTTATTTATTGCATATTACTTTCTCATAGTTTTCTTTAGTATCAACACTATTATGAAAATCATTCCAATGACATTTACATTATTTAAACAAAATAGTTTTAACATGTAATGGATATTTTTCTCAAGGTACAAATTAGTTTATATGATGCGCAACTTCGTTAGTTTATAATTAAGAAGATATCTTCATAATGTTAGAGAAAAAACTCCACTCCAAATATTTTCATACTCTTCATAGTTCACTCTAGTAAAAACAAGTTTTATGCATTATCTGCGAAGATAATAGTAATGTGGAATTACTGTTCAATAATAGCCGTGCTAACAAATGATCATCATTATCGCAGTTAGTTGTATTTCTCTTAATAAATGAATGGCAGTTCTCAGAAGTCAACTAGAAAAAAATTGAACTAATATCTACTCCTATCGATATACGTAAACAAAAACTGACAAGAGAAAATTACATTAAATGTTTTAGAAATCAGATGAGTTTTGATGTTGTTTTCCTTCCAAATTAAAATGTTAGATAGATTTTCTCGAACCGAAAAGAAAATCAGAACTCAATTTTTCAAAATAGGACGATGGGGGCGGGGGGGGGGCGGATCTTCAACAGTCTTCTGGGGGCGTAGTCCCTGGATTTTAGCCTTGGCTAGACTTAGCTTGAGCATACTCAGGTCTATTGACTCCGATGGCTGCGTATATTAACAAAATTCAATAATTACCTTATTCGCCAAAAGTTGATAGTAAAGAAAATATCAGTTGATTAGGAAACAATGTATTAGACGCATATGAAAACTAAAAAGCAATAGAAAATTGATATATTGAATCGAGCCTAAAGTTCAGCACCCTAGGGTAAGCATGGATCCTACCCATACCTAATGATTTTGCTGTCTATGCAAAAAATATGCAATCTACCTACTACGAAGACAAAGAAGAACATCTATGCTACACGATAGTTAATTTAAAATACGATAATAAACAATCAATTTTGTTTTTTCGTTTCCAGTGTGAATGCAATTTTACAAGATCGGTTGTAGTTCAATCTATCATTTATCAGTTTACGTTTTTCTGTGCACGATCGTTCTGTTTGAAAATTGATTAGGATCAGTTCTCTTTTTAGTTTCTAGTACGGAGTAATATCTATTAACAAGTATTGATAGCCATCTTAAAATTCTGGTATAAACGTGATTTATAGTTTTATTAGCTACTGACCCCTTTAGGTGAAGTTCGTAAAAAATTCGAGTAGACTTTTTCCTAGGAGTTTTGTGAAAAAATTGTGGTCGAAATTTTGAAGAATGTGTTGTTAAATGAAGAATTTCATGCTACATGGGGAAAACTTCAGGTTTATTGCTTAAATATTTGTTTTCAGATTGTCAACGAACTTTTTATTTGCAAGTCATAATAAAACTGTTACTCTTATCTATTTTGTTTTTATTTCTTTATAGTGTTGGACAAAGTCTTTTAGCATTGAAAATTTATCACCACATATTTTATCGTACTGAAGTATATATAATATCAGAATTCAAAGTATGGTAATGACTCTTTATTGAATATTTTTCTCATCTAACACGGCAATAGTACTTATTTGTCATTCAAGTTGCAGAATCCCTTAATTTAAAAGCGTTACTGTCAGTATCTTAGCTTGTACACATAGAGCCAGTAGTTGGTGCCCAATTCTGAAAGAACTTTGATATCTTTGAACCAACATGTATATGCGAGACTTTGTTGTAAACGTAGCCCAAACATTGCATCATTGATGAAGTTAACAGCAAAATTCTCCAGCGAACTAGAGAGATCATTTCAACACAAATATTTAAAATGATCTATGATAGTGAATGATATTTCTCTGAATAATTAGGAAGAGTTGTACAAGAGTAATTTTCATGGTCATTGCTATTTAAAGCAAGAATCTGAGTTACATAAACATCGATCTGCTGCATTCTGTTTTACTAGTTACAGTTTGAGCCTGGGTCATACTTAATTTAAAAGATATTCAGTTGTCATAGAATTAAATATCTAATAAACATTATAGTAAAATAATACTAAACATTAGGCATATCATAGTAACAATACTATCAATCCCAATTTCGTTTAGCATGGCTCTACTGGAAGAAAGAACGCTCATCTACATACATATGCTTTAAATTCAAATGAAAAGATCTAAATATTACATCATTATGTAAGAGAAAAAGGAAACAAAAGATTTTGTATCTATGTTTCATGATGTGTAATTACTCATCGAACACAATCTATATCTTCAATCATGCGGAAACTTATACTATTAAATTAACTTAATCAAACGTTCCTGTGCTGAATTTTTCGGGATGTTTAAAATTTTTGAACTTTAGAGACTTCATTTTCAACGTTATCTAGGCCTGTGACAGTTCAGAATTCTGAACTGTAGTCGCATTTCCTAACCAGTTCCTTTGTAAAGAACCCGAACTAGGCACCAGTTTTTTTCAAAAGAAGAGAACTGGTCACTCGTTCTCTCTGTGTAGAAATATTCGACCATTTAGCGATACAGACCAATATAATATGAAAATTTTATCTATGTAATAATATGCGTAGTTACCAGTTCTCAGAAAAGAACTGGCCGCTGTCGCAGGCCTAAATGTTATCTGAATGTGAACCTTTACAGATGATATAGATTGGAAAACAGTATCAGTAATTGATTGAGAAATTCTCTACTTTATCAAAAACGTTTAAGCGACTTAAGTGTCGTACAAGTAAACGATGTCATGTTCATTTGAAAACTTTTATAATTTATATGATGAAAATCTTTTAAAACTATATTGGAAGCAATCACTATTTCAGTAGTAGCCTTCCAGTATTGAAAACTTTTCATATTATTGTTGAATAGAATTTGGTACATCGAAATAGATCTCTGTTAATTTGACTGTGCAAAATACTGTTAGAATCTGTTGTGTTGAAAACAGATTGAATCTAACAAAATCAAAGAGCATTTTACTCATCACTATAGGGTTAGAATCTTCGAATGAAACAGAAAAGAAAAATGTCAGCTGTTGAATTTCGATAAGTGGATTTTTCTGTAACATCCAATCGATTCTATGAAGAGGTCAGAAATGTGTTTTCAATCAAACTTGTAATTCTGTTCTAGATGAATGCATCCAATACTAGTTCGGAGGCTTTATTTCCATCGAGTTATCCTGAGTACGTATACAATTTCGCCTATGGCTCGAACATGCATCCAAATACTTTAACTCGCCGACGAAAAATTCAACCCATTGAATCTATTCCTGGAATTTTGGAAGGATGGCAGTTGACGTTCGATTTGCGTGGTATTCCAGGTGTTGAGCCATGCTTTGGAAATATTAAAGAAAATCCTGACTCGGAAATTCATGGAATATTACATAAGATGACTAGTAAAGATTTTAGACATCTAATGACAACTGAAGGAGGTGGAGGAGTAGATGCAAATGGATACATACCGACAAAATTGAATGTACATGCTTACGACGGTCGTATAATTGAAGCTTATGCATTAGTAGTGCGTCAAACAAGTCCAGCCATATTGTGTCATCATGCATTGCCCAGTAATAGGTACATTGGTCTTCTACGTAATGGTGCAGCACACCATAACATTCATCCATTGTACATTGAATATTTACAATCTCTACCTTCGATCGAACGTAACAAATTTATAATGGTATTAGTTACCATTGAAATATTATCAGTAGTTACATTGTTATCTCCCATCTGGATCCCTACAGTAATTTATTATGCATGTTTACATAGAAAAGCACAGATTCGAACATTTCTTTTTAATATGATTGTAACTAATTTATGGCGCATTTATCGTTTGTGTGGAGCATGGAAAGATATTCGACCTTATTATTCTGCACCATTTCCTCGAGGCAGTACTTATTTTAAAGCAAACACAGACGGCTTCCGTACTGAGGTTACGATTGATGAACACACTTTATCAGATACTGCATCAGATATTTCATCGGAATCGAATTCATTTGAATTATTGCCAAACGTTATCAAGCAACGCAAGAATAATCAAAGTATGATTGAAGTAGCTCAACAGGAGTATCCTGAATGATTAAATTGTTGGCTGGCTTCATATTTGACTTGAGATTAAAATTGATTTTTCTATACGACAGAATTTTGCTTGAATGTGCTATGTTGAACGTATTGGAGTTGAAATATATAGAATGCTTCGATTGATTTTATCAAAACATATATAAGTATGATTTTTCTTGTTTATGGAATTTAGACTGCTAACTATTTCATTTTTAAATAATAAAAATTATTCCATGTCGAAAATTTTCTGATTGTATTTGCTTGTTTTGAGTTAAATTATCTTAAAATGTAGAAAGTAAGAAAGAAACCTGTTGTTTTGACTTACAAAAGAAAGGTATTCCCATGGGACACGCTGTTTGCAATCGGTTGTATATCATTTATGCCAGTTTATACAATTGATTAGAGACACTCTTATAATTTAAGATGGTTTTACTCGTGTGCCTTGAGATTAGACAAAAATTAACAAATATATACTGTTTGCCGCGATTAAATGTGCAAGTAGAAATGTTTGGGAGCTGAATAAAACACAAGCGATCCTCGCAAATATCTAATTTTTAGCATCTGAAATAAAATTTCCATAGATCTATCAAGAATATATTTATAATAGATATATGAACAGCAAAAGAAAATATCAAGATTGGATCAATATCTGTACTGCACATGAGGATAAATTCTGTATATACTAGCACGTACTAGACGCTTTCCACTCATTAACTAGATGCTAAATTCAATTTTATAATTCTATTCGGCCTTGCATTGTCTAGTTTATGATAGATCTGAAGTCGAAGTAGTATTACACAGTATTAGAAAAGGTTATTGCCTCTACAATAATCTATGGATTTTACTCAATTATAAACGAAACGCCGGAACACAATACCATCCTTGGTAAAATTCATTGAAGTATAACTCAACTTACTATGATATGCAATACAGATTTTGAAGAGTCTCACTTGAATAAGTACTATTTTAAAAAACTAAGATTTTTTCTATACATAATAAGGTAAAAAATAGAATAGTCCGTTTTTTATTCTTATTAGAGATGCCTAAAACTACAAATCTGCATGCATTTTTACAGTCAAGTTTTTTAAAAGAAAGTACAAAATTGAATTTTGTTTTTAAATTTTTTTTCTGTATAATACAATTAATTCAGTTCAATGTTCTCTCAAGTTTCTCAGAATATATTTAAAGGTGTATGCTTCTTTTTTCTTCTCTTTTATATCTGACACTTACAAAGTTTGACAAATTTTATAAAATAAAAACTTTTGGACAAAACTAAATATTCACGAATGATTTTCTCCGATAATCTCCTTTTGTTTCTAGAATTTCAATAACTGTATTTTTCAAACAAAACAACTTGCTGTAAAAACTCCATTCTAAATAACAGTAAGTACTGCTATGAACAACATTTCAGACTATTCTTAATGATGATAGTCCGGAAATCTTGATCAAACCAGTATCAGACACTTTCAAGTAATGAAATATTTTATTCGAATCATTGAAAACTATATAACCGTCAACTTTGTGGAAATTTTTATGACGACATTCTTGAGATAATTCATGAAGATGAGGATCCTTTTGAAAGTAACTTATGAAATTATAATGAATATAAATATGAATAAAATATTAACCTTCAAATGAGGCAGATATGTTGCACTCTTGTCTAATTTACTTAGACATCTATATTTATTAAATATAAAGTTATAGAATTTAAACAGAAATGAAAAGAAATTCTTTTAATAATGAGCAAATACAAGTTGAATAAATATAAATATATTCTGTTGTTTGATAAATAAATGTGCTTATCAGCTTATTTATTTTACTAAATAAATGTAATGAAGATACTAAAACATTATTATTTTTAGCAGACAAATCTGAAATAATTTAAACTATATTTTGTTGTTGCACATTGAAAAATAATAAATTTCTTTTATATTCTTTGAAAAACTCCGATATTATTTTCATAATGTCAACCAACAATCTGGTAAGTCAATTTGGAAACTACCCAAAAAAATGTTTTACTTTTTCGATTACTTTTAATATACAGACTCTAAATGAATTCATTTTCTTGATGTTTAGCAATGGAATTTAAAGTCTAAATGGTCAAACTTTTTAGCAACAAGAAATCGTTTAATAATTTTCGTAATATTATGTGTCATATTAAGTAGTCTGACAATAACAACCATAACGTTTGCTGTTTTGTGGAAGCGTTCAAAATCTCGTTCTAATTATTTATACGCAGCTAATAAAGGCACGATAGGTTTTCCTATTCGTTTACCTAATGATGGAAAATATATTCAATGGACATTTTTACAATTAAACGATGTTTATGAAATGCTTCCTTTAGATGAAGGACGAAAAGGTGGTCTAGCTCGTGTTGCTCGTGTTCGACAATTATTATTAGAAGAAAATTCTCAAACATATACAATTTTTTCAGGTGATTTTCTTTCACCATCAGCTTTAAGTCAATCGAAAATAAATGGAACAACATTAAATGGACGGCAAATGATTGCAACAATGAATGCATTAGGAACAGATTTTGTTACATTTGGTAATCATGAATTTGATTTAAGTGAAACTGAATTAATTAGAAGAATCAATGAATCAAAATTTACTTGGATTAGTTCAAATGTATTTAAAAGTGGAACTGATCAACCATTTTCATCAAGTATTCGATATAAAATTTTATCAATTGACGAGATTCGTATTCTTCTAATTGGTTTAACAATCGACATAGATAAACCATACGTTCATATAATTAATCAAACATCGCTTATTTCATTTGTTCAACAATTTCTTAAATCAATTTCATCTGTACAATATGATGTTTTAGTTGCATTAACTCATTTAGATTTAGCAGTAGATATTCAACTTGCAGAAAATATACCAAAAATTAATTTAATATTAGGTGGACATGAACATGAAGATTATTTTTTATTACGAGGTGCTCAATATATTCCAATAACTAAAGCTGATGCAAACGCATTTACTGTTTATATTCATCGATGTGCTTTCAATGTAAATACTAAACAATTTCGTGTTTATCGAACATTAGCACGAATCACTTCGGAATTAGAAAATGAAAAAAAAACAGATGATGTTGCCAATTATTGGTACAATTTAGGTATAAAAGGTTTTGAACAAATGGGATTTCAACCGAATAAAATAGTATCTTGTTTACCATCAACTATTCAATTAGATGGTCGTTCAACATCAGTAAGAAATTTTCGAACGTTATTAACAGATGATGCTTGTGAAAGTATTTTAAATGAAACATCTATAAATGGAACAATAATTGGAATTTTTAATACAGGAGCAATACGTATTGACGATATTCTGCGAGGCAAAATTACACAATATGATGTTTTACGAGTATTTCCTTTTCAAGATAATTTTTTGTCTCTATCCGTTCCTGGATCATATCTTGCTAATGTATTAAGTCATGGCATGTCAATGAAAGGTAGTGGAGCATTTCTTGCATTTTGTGGAATTCAAACTCCAGACCAAGGGCAAACATGGCTATTAAATGGAATCGATATTTCAAAGTCCGGTGGTAATTATTCTGTTGGTACAATAACTTATATCAAAGATACTGAGTTTCTTGATCCATCCGTAACTGTTTGGCATGAATTCAATGTAACACAAACGCAAGGTTTAATCAATTATCTACAAAACAAATATCCATCCTGTTGAAATCTGTGTGAACCCTTCTTGTACTATATATTTTAAAAATAGTCTGTTAAGACAACACATTACGTTCTTTTGTTTTTATTGAATTTCGAATGTACAGTATACAACAAAATTCTTTCGACTGTTTATACAATACCATCATTCTTTTTCAAATTTGACACTGTTCTGCAAGATTTTCTTGAAAAAACGTCTTTACTCGAGAAGAAAACATTTGTAGTGATGAATGGTTGAGAATAATTTTTCACTTTATTAAATTGATAAAAAAAATACAATATAGAGAAGAAAAAGTGGTTTTTCGTCCACTTAAGGAACAACATAACCAAAAAGATATTAATCAAAGAGAGAGAAAATATGTTGTAACAAGACAGAATAACAGAGAGTAGACACAGATCAATACACGAAAAATTATTGTTTTCATCAACATGCAAGTAAAATTAGCACCGACTTCGCTTCTTGATCTGCTACATGTCTAACCAGTGGTGACTTATGCACGTTTATACTCCCTATTAAATGGCACTACTTTCAAAGGGAGTCATTGAACGAAAATTGGGGTTTTCAATCAAAATACATCCTTCAAGTTGTGGGTGACCGATGTGCATGTCCTGAATGACGTACTAATGCATTCAACAGCTGTAACTATCGAAGAAATCTATTGAAATTGCAATGTCATCACTCACACTCACACACTTCATAAGACTGCAACCTGCTAGATGCAACGCCATGGATACTCTTACTTTGTCTATTTGAAAGCTAATTTGTACTAATCATATGGAAGGGATTTTTGAGTAGGAAACTAGTCATTTTTGCCTGTTCTTCGTTCATCTGAGTAGATGGAGTAATACAACATAAACTGCTTTTCGTGTTTGTCTTCCATTGCCATTCAATGGAAAGTAGATTGGTCGATCGAACGTTTGTGTCTTTTTTAGGTCAAAGCAATCCATCATGCAAATAATATTGATTATGTTAAGTTATTTCATTTTTAGAACTTGATGGACGTAATCTCTGACTGAAAACTAGTCAAGGCTGACTCATGATATTGAGCAGACATTTTTTAGTATACACGAAGCAATTTTATGTTTCAGATGCTTTTAATTAGTATCGACAAAATTCAATTATTGTTTTAATTACCTCGAAGATTATTAGTAAAAGATTTTTAGTTCTGCCCTGTAGTCGAATTGAAATTCGTACTGAAATATCAGTGTATTGGATATAAATAAGAGATGGGCAATGCATCATCATTTTCTCTACCACGATTAACGACACATATTCATACCAGTAGTGGTGCTGTGTTTCGTCTATCCTATTGGGATTTAGTTGATCACATTCTATTACTTCGTCAGGTGAGCAATCATCCAGAAATGACAGAGAAAGGAGAAAAATTAGATTTTTACGTCCAAGACTACTGTTATCGAATGTCTAAAAATCAAATTATGAGTAAACGTCAACAATCAGAACTTTCATGGCAAACCGACTGGATTTGGCAAGTACATCGTCTTCATCCTATTGCATATTATAACGATTGTATCAAACAAATTCCTGGTAATTATTTTATTGATAAAAAAAACTAGAAAACTAACAATAGATGAATATCAGAAACACAACGATGTTTGACCACAAGCATCAATGAATAATCAGGTGACATTTGTTCCTTCGATCAATTTGATGAATGCTGTTGTACGGCAACGGAATTTTCTCGAAAATTTTCAAAAGCATCCATTTTACTCCATTGATTTGAGACTCATGCACGCGACGTCATTTGAACAGAGCCTAGAAAATTATATATCATTTATGAAATTAGCAAAAAAGGATACAATAATAGTTCCAACATTTGATATCGATTTAATATGGCATACACATATGATATATCCAATGAATTATCTGGAATTCTCTACAGCTTTATGTGGATATTTGCTTGATCATGATGATTCAATCGCTTCGACAATATTAACTGATGCTTATCGAGATACAGCTGAACGATGGAAAGTTGCCTATGGATCAGAATACGGTCAGAATATTGATCGTAACAGTTCACTCAAATATTTTGATCCCAGACGCTGTGCCATGATTCACAAGCCTGACGAGAGAAAACGATCCAAATATGAAAGTTCTGGTGGACGTGAAGGATATAGGAAAAATAGAGATGGATATAGTAATTCAGATGATGGTGGAAGTTCATGTGGAGGTGATTGTGGAGGGGACTAAACATTGAACATGCTTCATTCATGTAGTGTTACAAGTGTATCATTTCACTGAAGTTAATCTTTCTATCAATACAGGATAAATCTATAAAATTTAAAGTCAATCGGCCCATTGAAATTAGAAATAGTTTCACGAACACTTGCGATGAGAAATTTGTTCACTACTGTTACGAATTAAACTTATTATATTCGCACGTAAAATGAATCTTTTGTACAACTTTTGATAATACAACGTATAGAGTAGTTATCATATCTGAAAATTCATTGAGGTTATTTATACACAGCTTGTTAATAGACGAACATAGTTTTCTTCTGAGTGTACGAAAATATACAGATGTGGCATAGATTATTTCATCAAATTTTATTTTAATCGCAACCCAGCAATAAATATGCATGTTATGAAAAAGAAAACAAAAAAACAATCGCTACTGACGGTATGTTTTCAATTGAAATGAGACTTGGTAAAAACAGCGTTTTATACAACAAAATGATATTTCATATATATATATATATTGACTTGAAGCATTTCAAATGATTTCATATTTTAATCTTAATTCTCGCAATGCCCCAAGAAATTTATTCATCAAAATCATCATTAATACAAATTGTCAAAAGATGAATAGAGCCACTTAAAATGGAGGAAAATCGAGTTTTATCAAACATGAAAAACCAACCGCCCATCTTACTAGCTGATACCACTGAGTCGGATTATTTTAAAAAAATGGCACACAAGAACCAATTGACGTATGTCATAAAATAACGGTACAAAAAAAAGTCACTTATATAGGCCGACTAGTTTTAAGTTTCATCCAGCCCGTACTAATAACAAGCAAAATGGCTAACCAAGTTGCGAAATAGATTCAAATAGAATACGACTGCTTACTTTTGTGTTAGAGGCAAAAGTTTCTGTTTAGAACATTGACCTGCCTATAATAGTAAGGTATGTAATCTTTAGGCTCCTGCAATCAATGTTAATTGTTTGATTACCAACGAAAGTGAACTGTACGTGACACACATTATCCTGTTGGGAATATAGCACACTTCTAATGATTTCATGATAAAAAAAATGATACTATGGAAAGATTCAATTTTTAAATGTTTACTTTCATGCGATGATGTCTAATAAATATGTAATTATTATGAACGATTAAGTTTATTTTATGTAATAGTAGAGTTCATGACATATATATATATTCGTAGTTGATAACTGAAATTCTAATAAGTTTTGAATGGCAATTGTATTTCCATAGATCTATATTTCGATCTGAAATAGCATAAGTATATAAACTAAACTTATGGTTAGACCTTACCATTAGATTGTTATATATAAACTCTATTTTATTTTATTTTTGTCGAAAAGATTTTTTAATATGTGCTCTGATATAGCACAATCGAATTGGATGAGGATAAAACTAACAGTACTAGATATAAATAAACGTGAGACCTCATTCAATCCAACTATTGCGTCACTCTTTGTTTCGTAGTGTATATCGTCAATGTTTTTACTTTTTGTTTTTTCGTCTATTACTACTTTATTCATTATTCGATTAATGTAGCATGTCGTATAGTTCCCTTCTTTGTTTCTTTCTCTCTTCCGATTTTATTTTATCTGAATTCGATATAATTGTGCATCGTATAGTATTTTTTTCTCCATCACTAATGGAAATATTTATTATAAATAACTGAATGAATATATTCTGTCTAACAAGATAGTGACTCAGCATAGAAATCGAAGGTCGATTAGAATGCAATATTGCCTACCAGTAAAGCATTCTCATTTTAGATGTTCGAACTTATTTCTCACTAAATATTATTATTAAAATAAAAATGAACAATGCACGAACTAGAAAAGGAAGGAATTCCGTGGATTTAACTCAGAAAGGATTGTTCTTTTGATGATATATTCTATGAATGATGGTTTTCATTAATAATATACAGAATTATCCATGCTCAGAACCACGTCAAATCTAAGTGATAAGGGTAATATATAGTTTCTATTGTACGCATTCAGAAATCTTTTTTCGGTTTTTTCTTACATTTTTCATAATTCTTAACAGACATAAAATCATGGCATGCAGTACGTTGAGTATATACGATTTTGAACGAAATGCAAATTGTAACTATCTTTATCTATGATTGAATCATGTAGGACTTTCTTCACAAATATCCAACTGGTGAACTTGATAGAAATACTCTCATAGAAACATACAAAGAACTTTATCCACAAAGTGAAACACGTTCTTCATGCAAGTAATATATTCAAATTAATTAAGTATGATTTATTATATTTTTCATTTCAACGTACTTTATTTAATGTCATTGATACAAATCATGACAATACCATTGATTTTAATGAATTTCTCTTTCTTGCTGCTATTGGTAATCGCACTGGCAGTCTAGATGCACGACTTGATATCGTATTCGATTTGTAACTTTAAGCTGTTTTTTTATTCGTTAAATTTATCAAATTTAATTTAGATGGGATGTTTCGAATGATGGACTTCTTGATCAAAATGAATTAGCTCATCTTATTTCGGCTACGGTACGATCAATCAATATGCTTTCCGAAATAATTTATATTATCTATTTTCTAGTATGATCGTGCTGGAGAAAAGAATCGTCAAGGTGATCAAGATCCACACAAGCGTGCTAAAGAAATAATCATGAAACTCGATATTCATGGAAATAAGAAATTGGATAAAACAGAGTTTATCAATGGGGATGTTTACTGAGAAATTATTTGTTGATAATTGACTTTATATTTTTATTTTATTTCTTAGATGTAAAAGTGATGAAATCATAAGAACACTTCTCGCTCCTGATCCTTAAAAAGTTCAATAGAATAAAAAATTTTAAATAACACTTTTTTCCAATTTTGTCTTTCTAGGTGTTTGTTTCATTTTTATTTTCGAAATAAAAATAACGAATAAGGTCATAATGAAAATAAGTTATTTAATCTCTGAACGTTTACAATATTGATAATTCATTCATCCGATACTGTAAGTATGAATGATATTAATTCTTCTTTTACTTCTATTTGATGTTTCTATCTTTGCAATTGCATGATTAAGTACAAAGACAAAAACAGTCATTTTTTTTCATTTTCGTCTTAATATTTATATTTTGCAATACATAATTATATATTTAATTGAACGTATTCCGTAGCAAAATGAATTATTTATAGAAATTGTAGAAAACAGACGGTGAAATTGAAATAGAGCAAGACGCATTAAATATTATATGAGAGAAACTTAATAAATTAATAGAAATAATCTAAAATATTCGTTTAATTTTGTCAAAAATTAATTAATCTTATTATATAATTTCGATATTCAAACATATGTCAGAGAGTATTAACAATAAGTAATATCTTTCTTTTTTTCGTGAGTAAAAAATAAAGCTTTTTTTATTTTCTAAAGATGTTTATTGGAAAGTAGCCAGCCTAAGAATTATAATATTGGTGTTAAGTATTTTTCTCTTTAAATTTATTGCCAGAAGTAGCATGAAAAAAAGGAAATATGTCACTAATGACTTCCCATCGTTTTTTCGTGTGTCGATTGAAGTACTTTAATATATAGAATAAAAACACATAATCATTTCCGGTTTCTCTTTATTAACAAATATAAAAGGAAAAAGAAAGAGTTATGAACACTTTTTTGTTGCTGCTTATCACTGAAAACAGTAAGATCCTATCACATTATTAAACGAGAGAACAATTTCAATATAACGAAAAGAAAATGATTGAAAAACATCGTCATGAATATTGGTCATCAATAATTCAAATTTTAATTGATTTAGCAAATTTAATGGAGCAATTATTTGTTTATTTTCTTGTAAAGCAAGAACATAATAATAAATATGAAGAACGTTTATTTTTTTTTGTACTTTTGGTGATTGGTCTTCTGTCTAATCTTCCATCGGCTAGTCCTTATGTTTATATTCAAACAATTGGTTCAATATCTATTGAATTCGGTGAACTTACAGCTTATTTATTTCTTTGGGAAAATTCCAAAAGTGTTATTATCGTGTCAATTATTTCATTTAGTATTGAATTTATTTTACACCTAATACATATATTACTTGAGCATTATTCAAATGAAAATAAAAATGATATATTTGTATTTGGAAAAACAACTTGTGGTAGAATTAAATATGTTATTATACGTTCAATTAGTTATACGATTTTTAATGCAACATCAATATTCTTTTTATTTCTTGATGATAATTCAAGATTTCATTATAAATTCTATGAAATTCTTATACTACTTACATTCTATTTCCCTAGTATTGCATTAGGTCCAGCATTGGAATCAATAACAAAATTTAAATATGAATATGAACAAGGTCAAATACCAAAAATAACAAATTTTCTTGTTTGGAGTTTACTTTGTGCAACTCTTTATTTTATTATGTATTGTATACCTCTTTCGATCACGGGCGTAGTTTTTGCTATACAACAATTAAGAGAAACAAGTCCAGCATATAGCTATGATTTTATTGTTTATGTTTCATCATTAACTTTCTTTTCGATTGCTATTCTTGTTTTCCCTCCGTTTATGCTTTGGTGGTGGAGATTTACATTTCAAAGATTTAAAACTATGCGTATTGATGCAGAAACACGATTGAGTCAGTCGAATGAAGAAGATCAGATGCAATATTGTCTTTAAATATATCTTAAATAGAAATAAAAAGTTCAATCTGCTGAAATAAAATAAACATGAAAAATAATTTCGATCTTAGTAGAGAAAGAGTTAGATGATAAATTGAATATTTTTCTTTTGGTAAAGTTTCCATCATTTTTAATTTACATTAATAAATAACTTTGTCGAATATTGTTTTGCATAAATAAATTTTCTTGTTATTGATAAGATGTGTTTAGAAATAAAATAAAATAATATGATTCATGATTGCTAGTATCTAATAAGAGGAGAATCGAATCGTTTATACATTTATATAACGGGTGGTCCATAAATAATGAGGGTGTCAGTATTTCCTTAATATTTTGCTTAGTTTTTGTAAATTCGAACTGAAACTTCTTTCAAAAGATACAGCATTTGATTTTCTACAAAATCACACACAAATGTATCCCATGGATACTAAAAGCGAAAACGCTATTGCAGTATTATTACGAGCATGCAACATCAACAACTTTCAAGCGCTAAATACAGTTCTCGTATATTTATGAGTGCCCACCTCAAGGTATACAGACAAATTGAAGTATCGAATTTGTAGAGCTTCAAAAGCTCCATCTTATTAGTATGTTTAAAAATTTCCATAATGAAACCTTGTCGTATGAAATAAGCGGAACTTTCTTTCCTCAAATTAAAAGAAAAATATGTTTTTTATTTGAAATAAACAACATTTAGATAAGTCTTCTTTTATACAATAAGGCCTCGTTATGAAAATCATGGAACATAGAAAAGAGATAGAGGTTTATGAAACTCTACAAAATGGGTAGTATACAATCGATAGAAATTTCTCGAAATAATTCGCCATGAAAACACATAAAAACAGGAAATCAGTATTCGATGTTTATATTGTATGTTCGCAATATTAATATAATAACTATATTACCTTCTTTTATCTCTATGATATCCATTTGTCTATGGATTTGTAGAGAATTAAACGCAGAATATTGTGAATAAAAGTTTTGTCCAAAACTGTGAAAACCGAAAGAGATACTGAGAAGATCATTTACTGTGGTCCATCCATTGGAAGTGCTTTTGAAAGTTGTAGATATTGCATGCTCGTAATAATACTGCAATAACTTTTTCGCTTTTAGCTCTATGGGACACATTTGCGTATGGTTTTGTAAAGAATCAAATGCTGACTCTTTTGAAAGAAGGTTCAGTCCGAATCTATGAAACCTAGGCAAGATATTAAGAAAATACTGACAACCTCATTATTTATGGGCCACCCGTTAGAATCTTTTAGAAAGATTCCATAATATTTATTGGCTTCTTGTTTATGTAACTTTGAAATAATTGATCACGCGAAGTGTCTTGTGTATTTGTGATCGAGTATCAAAAGTAAATTCAGATTATTTTCGATCTATTTTATGAAAACGATATGTTTTCCTCACATATTTTACCTATTCAATTTTTGGCGTTGAATAGTTGTTAATATTTTTTTAAAGTTTTAGTCATATCTTACAGTGCAAAGTTCATGAACAAATTCTAGAACAGGTTCTTGCTAGAACTAGAAGATTTCTATTATCAGGAGCACCAAGAGTACTCAATTGAGATATGATATACAAGAGCATTCCTATTAATATTTTAGTTTTCATCACACGTAATTAAATGATCAATCATCATCAATTATCTACTCTGTACTTTGACGATCTCTTGTCCAATGAAAAATATCCCAAGAAATAGAAGACTTATTTTATTGGTATAACTTTATTTTTACTTAAGAATATTCATGCTAAGAACTATTTCGTATCACACGATAGATCGTCTAAAAATTTGTTTCGCATATTTTAAATGGTTTTAAATATAATCTAATGAAAAAGACAATAGAAAGAGATTACAGAAAAATTCAAGAGTTTCTCAAGTATTATTACATTCAAGCAATACTAAATTTGAACTCATGTACAAAGAAATCTCATCTTTTTACCGATAGTCAAACCTAGTCACGTATAGACTAATAACCAGTTAATACAGAAATCAACAAATCTATCAGGAAAACCTAAATTATTGACTAAGACAGGTTTGTATTTATTGGAAAACTATTGACTTGAAAATGGATGCAAAAAATGATACTGATATCCCAGTTATGCAACACATTCAATAATCTAAACATTCAATAACATTGAAAAAATGTCTATTCTTAACAGTGGTTGAACGATTTCTAAAGGTTACTTTTCAAAAAATTCTTCTCAGTTAAAAAAAAATAGAAGCAGATTGCTGTTACTAAATATTTGCTTTAATAATTGTGTCACTTGAGAAAACATTTGCGTTTAACAGAACGTGATGAGATTCCACAATCTATTTGATAATCAGCCGCAACTGATAACAATTATCGTCCTTACCGTAGTTATACGTACATTAAAAGTATCGAAAGCTTTACTTCTTCTTCTATAACAATTGATATCATAATTGGCATCATAAATTTTTCCTCGATATCTAAAACAATAAGTGAGATGCATAAATAAATTCTGTTCTAATCGGTCGAGCTATGATTCAGATAATGTAGCGAAAAGCTATGTATACCTGCAAGATATTGAATTTTCAATCTTGATTTCAGTATCGAGTCATCTATTGAATATACTGGGCTATCGTTGAAGTCCGACTGACAAAACAATGGAAATATTTACAAAAGGAATCTTGGAAAAACGTGGAATATTATGAAAATATTGCCGATTAACTTTATTTACATAAATTCTTATCTTTCAAAACGACTAGAGCAGTGCTGATTAATTTCCTAAGTAAATGTAGATTTGATGGAATAAAATTCATGAGCATTTTTAAATACTACTCTTGTAACTGTGTTCGTATAAAGTAAGGCAGTAGATAGCGAAATTGCGATATTTCAGCGTATACCAAGGCATATAAAAATCTATTCTCTAGAAATTCTTAGCTATTTCAAGTTTAATATGAATGTCTATACTACAAGAATATTAGTTTGAGTTCATATTCTATAAGTCTGTGTGATGGTAACCTGGAAATATCAGATTTTATTTCACGATTCAAATATCATTGAAGTTGAATTTCGATAAAACTCGAGGATAAATTCGAAAGTTCTTCAACAATAGATCATAGTTCGATAGACAATAGAATTTAATTTTTACGATAATGATTGAGAAATAGATCATAGATTTTACATTCTATTTCTATCAAAATTATGGATTGATCTGTTCAATTGATACAGTTCTCATAGCGATTATATAATGAAAATATGAGCATTTTGTAATAGTTTCTACGATAAGAATATTCACGAAGATCTACACTCTATCTAATTTATTGGATGTTCTATCTGATATAATGTCTATCTTTATAGGTACATGTCTTTAGGCAAATTTTCATTTCGAAAATCTTTTAATGTCTAGTTGAAGCTGTAATTTTCTATTTTTGTTAATTTCTTCTTTGTTATTCGAATATGTACTTCACGATATGAATCGATATATTAAAGTATCTTATCGATTATGATCCAATAATGAACTGTCAATATAAATCGTTTGATGTGATTATGAAGAGTGAACGAACATGTTGATATCATTTTACAATTTCATAGAGAAATAAGAATTTATTTCTTTCCTTTTTATTATTCTAATTAAAATGCATTTGATATTCTACAATGAATAAATTTTGCCCCTTGTTTGGTGGACAATAAGAATCGAACATGTTTTTCATGTTATCATTGAGAAGAAACGTGATTAAACTACGTCGTAAAATTTTCCCTATTATTTTTCAAAATATGTTTCTTTGCATCGAGATATATGCGTATATAGCTATGTATGTAACAGATATGTTTCGTTCTTTCTTTGTTTCTTCTTTTATTATGGCGGTTACAAACACAACGTGGATCATATAAAGATTTCGTCTTAGGGTTAACTTTTTCTCTTTTCTTTTCATATCGTTCTTTTCATTTTCATTTTAATAAGATTCATTATTTGTTATTTGAAGAAAAATAAATTTATCGAATAATGAAAGAAGAAAATTGTGAAGAAGAATTTGCAATTAATGTTAATACAAATGATGATCAATCATCAGTAACAACAAGTAAAACATCAACAGTACCTTTTTCAAATTTTTATATAAGAAAACGAACAGCTTCAACTAGTTCATCAAATCAATTTAAATTATCTGAACAGTTAACAAATACGTCAAGTAAATAATTAATAAAAATAAAATAAAGAATCTTTTTTTTGTTTTTGATTCAAAATCTAGTTAATAATATAGATGATAATTTATTTGAATTCGATATAATTGATATACCAGTTCATAAACCTCGTTTCGAACGTTCTCAAATATATTCAAATGTTCGTGTTTCACATGTTGATGAACATCTTTCATTTGTTTATATTATGCTTAATGAAGATTGGTTAGCTGCAACAAGAATGTTGAATGATACTTTTCAACAAACACTTTTAGATAAACAACTAACAGTCGATATTTTAAAGTAAAACCGTTTTTTATTTTATTTTCATTTACTGAATAAAATATTTTTATCTAGATTAAAAAGTGATGGATACTATATGTGTCGAAGTCAATCATCATGGTTTCGATGTCGTTTGTTAACAAAAACTAATTTAATAACAAATGAAAATAATCTTGTTACAGTTCATTTAATTGATTGGGGAATGGAACGACAAATTCCAGTTTCTGGTTAATTTTTATTTTATTTTTCATTCTCTATTCTTTTTTCTGCATTTATTTATTTTTAGATATTCGTCAAATGCCACAATCGTAAGTTTATCTAAGAGATTCCTTTCACAAGAAAAATTCCTCATTAAATTTACTTTTGAATTTTTTTCTTTCAATTAATTTCTTTTCATTCTTAAAAACAGCCTTGATAGTTCTGTTATCATCATAACTATTTCATTCAATTTATTTTCTTTATTCATTTAATAGAATTAGTTCTAACGAAAATCTTTGTTTGTCATTAGGAATTTATTATCAATTATAATAATAATTTTTAAATAAATATTATTTCTCTCGTTATATAT